TAGCTCAGGATTACCGGGTTTGGTACTGAAAGTTAACCCCGAGCTACACTCGGAATAATGCCAGGGGGGTTAAAGGAAAAAAAAATAAAACTAATGCAACCACCTAATCCAAATACTGGTAAGCTGCAGTATATGACATTGTTGTTCTTGGGTTTGGATACACTAACTGTAGAGTATGGGTGTACATACCAAATTGCAGCAGGCAAGACTTTTTTTTTTTCAATACAAACGCGGCTTTTATTGGAAAGGAGTCTTATTTACTTAAAGGTAATGTAGAAGAACAAGGAGATATTACTATGAAGAATAATGGCACACTGAGCTGTGGGTTCGTATACAGTAAGGGTATGGATGGCCCCATAGTGAACAAATGAGCTTGCTCATTTTATTTTCTGAAGCATACATTCATTTTCAAAGGATGCATTACAATCTTCATCTGCTGAACATCACAATAATGCGGGTTCCATGTTTATTTTCACAATTCCATGCTTTTATATGAAGAGAATGGTTAAGATTGGGAAAAAACGGATATATCGCCCTCCTAGTTAAGCTGCAAGATAAATTTAGTTTTTGGCTTCCCTGTAGTGAGTAGAGCAGTAATTTGGTGTTTTTGTCTGTTCGGGGTCTCCTAAGCTGGGAGTTTGATTTCTCTCACCTGATTGGAAGCTTCCAGAATATAGGGCAGGGAGATGCAGATGACCAGTATGAGTTTTCCTCATACCCCAGCCAAGCCCTGGAAGAAGGTGTCTAGCGGTGGCTGGGAAGGTGATAAATGTTTGGGAGGCTCTGGGTGAGTGTCTTTCCTCTTCACTGAGAGTTCCAGTCTCCTGGGTGGCTACTGCTCCTTGGAGAGAGTTTCTGAAACAGGAGATTGCAGTCTGGGTGTCAGCAGGAGCTAGGCTGAAGCCTAGGAAAGGTTGCTAAAGGAGTATTCACTGGAGGGCACTGTTCTGAAACCTGGGTCTGGAGAAGGACCTTTTTATCTCCCTCACTGAGGATCTACCTGTGGACAGGGGCGTATTTGCCATGAGGCAAACAAGGCATTTGCCTAGGGCGGCACTTTTCAGGGGGGGGGGGGCAGCACGGCGGCAGTGCCGGACCCCCTTTCCCACGGAAGTACACTTACCTGGGAAAGGGACAGGAGCTGCTGTGTCTTACCTGACTTAGTGCCCCACGTCGATCCGGTCCACAAGGCGCTGCTGGAGGAGGGGTGCAGAGGGTGTCCGTCCGGTGTCTTCATCTTCTTGGATCTTGATTTGGGCGGGATGACAAGCCATCACTCGAATCTGGCCACACCCCTGGGATCACTGGTCAGCCTATGGCAGCCTGTCCCTCCCTCTGCAAGCTCCGCCTCCTCGCCGGTGATTGGCTGCCAGATCTGTAGCTCAGAAAAGGCACACAGGCGGCCAATCACAGGCGAGGAGGCAAAGCTTGGAGGGGAGGAGCTGAGCGGCAGCGTGAAGATTGAAGATCGAGTGAGGGAGCAGCTAGAGTCGGTGAAGAGGAGGAGAGAGCGGCTGGAGAAGGAAGACAGCTGATGGGTAAGTGTCTGTGCCTGAAGGAGGGAGGCCAGGCTGGAGCAGGGATCAGCACAGCGATGTAAGTATAATTGGTGTCACTGGGAGTAATAGTGCCCCATCATTAGTGTCAGTGTGGGAGGAATAGTGCTCCCTCATTGGTGTCACTGACACCAATGAGGGTGCACTTTTCCTCCCACTGACACCAATGATGGGACACTATTCCTCCCACTGACACCAATGATGGGACACTATTCCTCCCACTGACACCAATGATGGGACACTATTCCTCCCACTGACACCAATGATGGGACACTATTCCTCCTACTGACACTAATGATGGGGCACTATTCCTCCCTCTGACACCAATGATGGGGCACGATTCCTCCCACTGACACCAATGATGGGGCACGATTCCTCCCACTGACACTAATGATGGGGCACTTCCTCCCACTGATACCAATGATGGGACACTATTCCTCCCACTGACACCAATGATGGGGCACAATTCCTCCCACAGACTCTAATGATGGGGCACTTCCTCCCACTGATACCAATGATGGGGCACTATTCCTCCCACTGACACCAATGATGGGGCACTATTCCTCCCACTGACACCAATGATGGGGTACGATTCCTCCCACTGACACCAATGATGGGGAATTCTGTTTTTTTGGGGCTAAACTCATGAAGAAATTTGATTTTATAGGATACATTTCATAACAGAAAGTAGAGATTATTAAAATATTGGTTTTTTTTCAACATTTTTGGTCTTTTTTAGTTTATATAATAAAACATAAAAAACCCAGTGGTGATCAAATGCCACCAAAAGAATGCTCTATTTGTGTTAAATACGTTATAGATATTTCATTTGGATACAGTGTTGCATCACCAAGCAATTGCCAGTTAAAGTACCACAGTGATGAATAGCAAAAAATACCCTTGTCATGAAGGGGATAAAACCTTTCAGAAGTTAAGTAGTTAAATACCATTAATACAAAGATCAGCCAAAAAAATTAAAAATATTATTCTTCCTATTATTATATAGGATTTATATAGCGCCAACAGTTGCTATTAATTTGGGAACTTTGTCGCATGAGTAAGCAACTGTCAATCAAACTATCACAGCACTGTGAAATGAAAAATGGCCTGGTATCAAATGAGGTATATACAGGCTGGTATTCAGGTGGTCCCAAAACCAAAGAGTAATATGAACACATAACTGTCTTGATTTCCCCTAACGAGAAATTAGACTCTATAGGAGATCTTTTATGAGCATGTTAAAAAATTAAAAAAGAATTTTGACTGATGTGGGCAACACAGGCAGTTATCCTTTTAAAAATGTAGCAGTGTGTAGAGCATTGTGCCATGTTAGCAATTGATGAAAATTAAAGTGTATCTACAGTGGGGATCGAAAGTTTGGGCACCCCAGCTAAAAATTTGTATTAATGTGCATAAAGAAGCCAAGGAAAGATGGAAAAAATCTCCAAAAGGCATCAAATTACAGATTAGACATTCTTATAATATGTCAACAAAAGTTAGATTTTATTTCCATCATTTACACTTTCAAAATAACAGAAAACAAAAAAATGGCGTCTGCAAAAGTTTGGGCACCCTGCAGAATATATAGCATGCACTGCCCCCTTTGCAAAGCTGAGACCTGCCAGTGTCATGGATTGTTCTCAATCATCGTATGGGAAGACCAGGTTATGTCAATCTCAAAGGTTTTAAATGCCCAGACTCATCTGACCTTGCCCCAACAATCAGTACCATGGGTTCTTCTAAGCCAGTGTTTCTCAATTCCAGTCCTCATGGACCCCCAACAGGTCATGTTTTCAGGATTTCCATTATTTTGCACAGGTGATTTGATCAGTTTCACTGCCTTAGTAATTACCACAGCTGTTTCATCTGAGGGAAATCCTGAAAACATGACCTGTTGGGGGTCCATGAGGACTGGAGTTGAGAAACACTGTTCTAAGCAGTTGTCAAAAATCTAACTTTTGTTGACATATTATAAGAATGTCTAATCTGTAATTTGATGCCTTTTGGAGATTTTTCCATCTTTCCTTGGCTTCTTTATGCACATTAATACAAATTTTTAGCTGGGGTGCCCCACTGTATACCCAAAACATATTGTTTTTATTTTGTATAGAATGCAGAAAGAGTAGAACACCTGTCAGGTATTACTGCTATTTCCTCCCAGCTTCAGTACTGAGGATAATGTTTTACCAGGCAGGAAGTGAGAGAAAAGCCAGGGAAAAAAACAGGGAACCCAACAACAATAAAAAGCTGACAGAGGGTCCATCCAGCAGTTTCCTACTTGCTATAAAAAAAAAAAAAAAATATATATATATATATATATATATATATATATTTCTGTTGTGTTGCTGTTGAAGAGATTTCCCCTCACTTCCATTCCTAGGGACAACCTCTCCAATGGAACCTCCAAAAGCAGTAAGAGTTGTCTGGAGTTCTAATCCACTGAAGCAGAAAAAATCTTGTTTTGTGTATAAATACTGTCGCCAGGTTTGCCAGTGGTTGCAAACATTTTTCCCTGTTTGTAAGCTTTGTTCTTTACCTGTGACACAAGGAGGGCAAAATAAATTGCCTGCACTGCTGAGCTGCAGTGACAATTTTGGGGAAGACTATAAACAATGCTCGGCTAAGGAGCGTCTTCGACCCTGGGAGCTACCATTTTGGGTGAGCCAATTTACAATGTACTGTATATGCTGAGCCAATTGTGATTGGCCAAATGAAGACACAAAGAAAGGGGATGTGGACTGCTGTGCATCTTGGGAGTGAAAAAAACTTGCTGGCAGAGGTAGTCCCTACACCGAATGAGTCTATACTACAGATTGGCTCTTGGCTCTAGGACTACATATCCCAGCATTACTAGAGGTCTGTTGTTAGGAAAAGGAAGGTCTGTTCCCGGACTCCAGGCAATTGTGGTGATTACATTGTGAGAGAAAGACTGAGGGATTGAGAGAGATCAGCTGTCACCCCAGGAGTTGGTGAGAGGCTGCTGGCCAAACTCTACTGCACCCTATTAAAGCAGAATTTCAGCCAAAAAGGGAAGTTCTGCTTTATGTCCCCCCCCCCCCCCCCCCCACCATATTTGGCATGTTATTTTTTGGTTGGGGAAGCGGGTATCTGGTTTTGACAGAGCTACTTTAACCACCTCCCATCTACCCTATAGCAGTAATACTACGTATATATATGTGATTTTGCATCTCTGGGTAGGGGGCGCGTGTGAGCCGCGTGCATGCCCTACCAGCCCTGCTATTCGCGGCCTCAGCTGTCAATCACTGGGTCCCAGCCGGTGATTACTCGCCAACACCCGGTGATCGAGGAGCATTACCAATGGAGATAGAGAACTGTAAGTAAACAATACAGATCTCTCCCTGTCATCTCATGCACAAAGCTATCCATGGCTTTGCATAGCAGAACCATGCAAAGCAGTGTGATTACAGTGAAGCACACACACACAGCACACAGTTAACCCTTTGATCACCCCACATGTTAACCCCTTCCTGCCCAGTGCCATTAGTACACTGTCAATGCTTTTTATTAGCACTAATCATTGTATTGGTGTCACTGGGGATGTCAGTGACATAAAGTCAGTTCCCCCCAGTGTCAGAATGCCCATTGCAGTCCCGCTATAAGTTGCTGATTGCCATCATTACTAAAAAAAAAAAATAGTATATTTACCGCCATTTGTAAACGCTATAACTTTCACATAAACCAATTAAATTACCCATATTGGGATTTATTTTAGCAAAGATATGTAGCAGAATACATTTTGGGCTAAATTTATGACAAAATTTGATTTTTAAAATTTTCTTACTGGACATGTTTAATAGCAAAAAGTCAAAAATATTTTTTTCTCAAAATTGGCAGTCTTTTGTGTTCTTTTTTATAGCGCAAAAAGAACAAAACCCACACAGGAGATCAAATAGCACTGAAATAAAGCTTTATTCGTGGGGAAAAAGGATGTAAATTTAATTTGGGTGCAGCGTGCAATTGTCAGCTAAAATAACACAGCACCATAATGCAAAAAATGGCCTGGTCAGGAAGGGGGGTAAATCCTCTGGATGGCAAGTAGTTAAAGAGGAACAGTATTGTTTGCTTGGGACACAGTGCAATTACCTATACCTGGTTTCTGAGGAACTTCATCTAAGTGCTTTGCTGCCTGATATGTGTCTTAACATACTGGCCTGTACTGAAAGGGTTTGACACAGACTGATAAACTATTATCTTAGCATTGCCCCTTAGGAAGGACCACCCCTTGGCATAGGTCTTAGGAGCATCTTCTGGACCATTTATGGCCATTAATGTAGAACTTTAGGTAAAATAATAAAAATGGGCGAACAGGAAGGAATTTTAATGTAGAAGAGACATGCTTTGTCTCTTCTGCATTAAAGTTACTCACCTGCCTATCTGCCCCTGTACAGTGAGCCGCACATGCGCAGCTCACTGTACAAACTCAGCAATGCCAAATTTGACTGAATGTCAGGCCAGGCCAATGACAGCGCCTAGAGATGGAGACCCGGAAGCCGGCCTGCTTGAAGAAGTCAGCAGCCAGGCGGGGAGCAGAGGGACGCTGCATCACTGGAAGTATAGTTCCACTTTAATAGCTTTTTATCAATAGTATGTCCTATTTGCTACTGTTTATATATTTGTTTATCAACCATACATTCTGTTTTGATACTGTTTGACATATTTGTTTGAAGGCTTATTGCTGTTTTTATTTGTTTGGTTAGTGTATATTTTATATTATTGCAATAAATATCCTCTCTTCTTGTGTCAGAGAGTCGTGGGAGGTAAGTGCTACAATACTTTTTAATGCACACAGTTTGAAGTTTAAGTGATACTCTTTACTGACTTGTATATAAACTCAAAAAATACATTTCTTGTATGTGATCCCTTTCGATCTGCTAAATATAAAATTAAAAGCATTTTGTTATACCTGTTCAATAAGTGGAAAAATACCTGTTGATTTTGCCATAAATCTTGTGAGTTGATCATTTCCTGTGCTCTCTGCCTGCGAACAAGGCAGGTTATGTAGATGAGGAGAGGTCTGTGTTCTTTGTAATCCATCAGAAATGAAGTAGGCAGGGCTGACACCAAGTGCTTATGAATTCAGAGCTGTTGTCATGTCAAAGAGGAAGGTAAATACAACAGTTGTTGTTCTGTACTTGCAGTGTGTTTAAAGCGGAGTTCCCAGAAAAAAAAAAAAAGTCAGCAGCTACAAAAACTGTAGCTGCTGACTTTTATATTACAGCCACTTACCTGTCTCTCGGTCCAGTGGTGTCCTCACCACCACTGGTTTCACCGGTCATCTTCTCTCTCTGGTGTTGGCACCTTTAGTGTGGGCACCCGGCTGTGACAGCTTGCAGCTTCGCAGCCGGGTGCCCACTGCGCATGCAAGAGAAGCGCTTTGTGAATGGCCCCGTAGTCTTCTGGGACCTTTCACGTGTTTATTTTTATACAGATATGAATAAAGCCCACTCCTTTTAACAAGCCTGATGGACACTGGTGCGTAAATATCCGAAAATAGTGCCGCATTTTAGTTGAACAGAAACCTGCATTATTGGTCAGTATTGTAAACGCAAATATACACCAATGTGCGCATATTTCACATCTCCCCTATATTTTTTTAGCATTGTTGGTCTTAAAAGAATTTTTCCAAGCATAAACGTGTGCACTATACAAACCGTACTCTCCTGCCTGGAGGATCTGGCTTTCATGCATCAGTTTCATGTACAAGGAACCTTAAATATCTGTTTATAGATAAGGTGATTAACAAAGAGTGAGTTTACTGTTATATACACTGAGTGGTCCAGTCTGCGCTCTTTGGTGGGATTACAGATGGGCGGAATTAAGCAGAACAGCAATCAGCAGATTTTCCCACATGTGGTTTCCTGGAAAGCAGCTCAGATTATGGATGCATCAGTGAGCTTTGTGGTGTCCTGAAGCTAGGTTGCACGCAGTAATTATTCAAATCTGGGGAGTGGGAAGTACTGTAGATAAGCAAGCTGAATGATTTTTATTGTAATTCATATCTGTAGTAATAGAAGTAGATGTCATATGTTAGTGTGGACTTTATGTAGACCCATGTGTCACTAGCAGTAAATCTAAGATGTGGAGTTCAGGAATCCCCCATAAAGAGGTATGTTTTTAGCAAGATGCTCCAAGGTCACAGAATTCAGATTTCCCTTGCTGGTTGCAATTTATGCACTGACAAAAGCGATAAAGAGCAATCAGAGCATGAAAGAGAAGCACGATCAAACAAGTGAATGTCAGGACAGGCAACATTTGAACAGTGTCTTCAAGCTTCCATACACTGGTAGATTTTCGAAAGACTGTTTGTATCAGCATTTGTATGAAAATGCATGCTGTTTGTTTGGAACAAGCATTGCACATCAGTTACAGTCATGGGCTCTACTCTATGCACAATACACATCCCATAATCTATAAACCATCTGGGGAGTGAGCAAGTGAGGGTGGCAACATTCCTACACACAGTGGGACCATGGAGAATAAATGAAGCCTCCCTCATACAGGTAGTCAGAACATAGAAGCTAAAAGAAGGGCATTCGGAGATTTGTAAATTTGGAGGAAGCTGAGAGCAAGAGAATTACTTTTTTGAGTTAACAACACATGCTTAGATTTTTTTACCCATTTTAGTCTCACTTTAAGCCTGTGAAAAAAAACAAATGCTCTGCAGCGTTTAAAAAAAAATTGTTAAAATATATTTAAATATGCAACTTAGCTCTGTAGCAAATATATCAATGTACTTTCAACTGGTGCAATTCAGCAAAGCCTGCAAATATTGAGCAGGTAGGCTGTGCTTTATGTGGACATTTGATTTTTTACAGATATTTATATTATTTACAATATATATATACTGTACATTCACATCAGTTCCTGCCTTCAAGAAGTAAGATCCCTATTTTGCATGCGCACACAAACAGGAGCCAATTAATCTACCAGCAAGTCTTTGGCGTGTCGGAGGAAACCCACGCAAGTGCAAAACATACAAAGTCCATGCATGTAGTGTCATGGTTGGGACCAGGGGCGGACTGACCATTCGGAAACTTGGGCACTGCCTGAGGGCCTGGGGTCAGTAAGGGGCCCCATGAGATGCCCCTAGTACCATTCATAGGCTTTTTTGGGTGTGGTTTGAATGTGGGTGAGGACACAGGGGCCCCATGATCCCCTATTGCCGGGGGCCCCATGAGTTGTCAGTCCGCCCCTGGTTGGGACTGTAGCTGATGGACCCTAATGCTGGAAGACAGACGTGTTAACCGCTAAAGCTGGCCATACATTAGTAGATTTTCAAACAAATGTTCGTATGAAAATTCTCAGTACATTTGATGGCTTGATGAATGTTGTTCAAAAGTACTTCAAATTTTCATTTGCTTTCAACATGCATTTTTGGAATAAATAAACTTTACAGAATGAAAACCACATTCTTTGTTAGAAAGTCATTCATTAGAGTAAAATTTTCCATCCTGCTTTGAATCATCACTTTGGTTGAAAACGAACATTAATTTGACCCCACCATCAATTAGAAAATGGAACAAATGTTCTTAAAATGAACAATTCACAATAGAATTGTACTAGTGTATGGCTAGCGTAAATGTTTTGTTCACCTTTACCAAAAAGCTGCCTATGTGGGTAAGATGTTCTAGCAACTAGTCAGCACAGAATGATGCTATCTATAGGAGTCTTTCTGCAAGGCTTCTGGGGGCACATAATTACCCTACACCTATAGCAAGGGCACCATTCAACTTTACTCAAAGCTGCACAATTTGTTTTTATCTACAGCTGTCCCCCCCCCCCCCCCCCCTTACCTGCATTGGCACGTTTTTTTTGTTGAAGGAGAGCTAAACCTTTAACCTCCGTGGCGGGTATTCCCGAGTGTAGCTCGGGGAAAGGTTTCTGTACCAAAAGCGGTAACCCCGAGCTACACTCGGGCTTACCATGCAGCGCTGCATAGGGAGTCCCTGCAGCACTTACCTTGTCCTTCGCTCCCGTGATGTGTCCCCTACAGCGTCCCCGGCCATCTCCTCCGGCTGATGCCGGCATCCGACTTCTGTGTTCCGGTCCCTGTGATGTCGGGACGTACGGGCGCCGCCGGTGGCGGGAAATTTGAAAATTAAAAAAAAAAATTTAATTTTTTTCAAAACGAATTTTACATAGTAAAACATTGCTGTTTCAAACCATTTCACATACATTTTGTCCCTACTGCTTTGTCCTATCCCCTGTCTGCATTTTGACTGTTCTTTCTGCCTGGAAACTTAGAAAAGTCCATGGTGTCCAAAAAGCGTCCCTTTAGGTCAAAAGTGGGTTTAGATCAGCTAGAGAACAGCGATAGTAAATCAGAACTACTTGCAGAATTGAGTGATAATGATTCGTGGGGAAATTCGTCATCAGATACTGAAAACGATTTTGCGACTTTGCTCAGTGATGTGCGAACTTGGCGCTATATTTCAAATTTCAGTGTTTTTGGTTTGATTATATTATTGAATTAAATGTATTATTATTATATTATTATTTTTTATGATTATTTATTAAATTATAATTTATGATTTTGTGTTTCAAATTTTATCATACCCGGGATGTTTAATAGACTCTTGTTCAGACAGATTTCAGTGAGTTATTCCTAAAAATTAGAGCCTACAATAAAAAAAAACATACATATTTCCATGCAAAATAATGGTACCGCTTTCAGCACCAAAAATCTGAAATAATCATACCGCCAGGGAGGTTAAGTCACTCTGCTGCCCACATCTCAAGATTTTTGTTTCAGTTTTGATTGGAGCGTACCAATTAAAGAATTTGAAAGATAAAACTTGATTGGTGGCTATGGACGAGTGCTCCACTTTTGCTCCAGCCTTTAAAAATCACCCCTTTTGTGTTGTAAGGATTAAATGCAAGGATCCTTTAATAAACTATAATAGGAGAGAGCCTATCATTGGCGGAGAACAGCTTTTCTCCTGCAGCAGGCGCTTAGAACCGCTGGGGCTTAATTCCATTCATAGACTCATCTGTCTGTTTACATAGCGGCCAATGATACATCTCTAAGATACACTTAGGCTTTGAAAATCAGAATACACACACAGCCCCCAACAAGACTCTGAGATAGCTGCAGGTGGGGAGAGAGACGCCTCGGGCTGTCTGTGCCCCCTCCACTCCATTCAGTCATTCTTATAAATAAAGCATGCGGCAGGGTACGGAGCCAGAGAAAAAAGGACCACATCGCGTGCAAATCCATCTGACTGCCCTCGCCTCTCATCACAGCGCCTAATCTGAGATGACATGTTACAGTAAAAGTACTTTAGGAAATCAATATTAAATTCACAGCCTCTGACATCCCGGGACATGAAAGATAAAAGGGGAAATAAGGCATGAGGTAAACAGAAGAGCGGGAGCCGCTGGAAGGAGAAGAGAGGGACGGAAAGAGAAAGAGAGCAGTGGAGGGGAGGGTGCCGAGGGGGCCGTGGGGGAAACGCGTACAACGATAGGCATGTTTTTATACCAAGGTCCCGACATCAATGAAAACATTAGGAGGACGGCACGCAAAGTCTTACACACAACAAACAGCAAGAATAAATAAATCAATAGGCAGAGCAGGGAGGGCGAGCGGAGGGTTGGTGTGTGTGTGAGTCTATTGTAACCTCATTCTCTGCACCAACTGACCGGAAAAGGTGAAAACGGGATCACCGATTCCGCTGTGGATTTTCAGCAGAGTAGAAGAGAAATATTGACATTGTTCTCTGAATACGTACAGGCGTGATATATTTATATTTATGTAGAGGAGCTTGTAGGCTGTCATAGCTTTGAACAACACACATTTGCAGCTGATGCTGTGCGGAGGTTTAAAGAACAAATCGAACAACTGGCTTTTCTGAACTGCTGCTTGGGAGGAAACACACAGGCACTACATAGAAAATCTATTGTAATCTGTGTACAAACTAGGCACAAAGGGTATCACTGCTGTTCTCTCCTAGGCAGGGTAGTCCTGGGGTGTAGAAAATCTGATCTTGGAAGTGTCTGTACAAAGTAAATCTCTAGGCGTCTTTGTTGTAAGCTTTTCATTTTGTTTTATTGTTCTTCATTGTGTATTATGTTTCTGTTGTCATGAATACCTAGATACATAAGTCTGTGAGATCGGTTCTGTTAGATTTTGGTTCTGAGCTCTCAATGCAGCGAGCAGTACCCTATTCTAAAGTCCTTTCATGTAACCTTAACACTAACCCTCCAAAACTGAGCATTGAACTAACCCTTCTTGTACCCCAACTTAACTCTCACTGTAACCCATACACTATCCAACACTAACTGACCCTGTAACACTAACTGTGAAGCCAGCCATGGTAGTTATAATCTCGGCCAGTTCAGCAGGAACTGGCTGAGATTCTAACCATTTATGGGCAGGCTGATTGTACCCAATTCAATTGTTGTATTACTTGGGTACAACCAGCCTGTTGGATTTTTCATGCCATTATTGCCAGCACCTATAGCCACTAGCAATAGTCACTGCGTTCTCCCGGAGAGGACAGCTCTCCCCACCGGGAGAGCACAATAGATCCGTGGGAGGGATTCTCCCATCAACACTGACTGTGTTGATGGGGGAATCGAGCGATTTTCTTTCCTGAAACACATGGTTGCAGGAAAGAAATTTTCATAATTTATGGCTGGATTTACTCTCACACTAACCCTCCCTGCTGTAATCCAAACACTAACTCATACCAACCGTATTTGTAACGCTCTCATACCCTTCCTAAAAGCCAAACACTAACCCATACTGACACTAACTGTCCTCCAATCCTCCCTATAACCCAAACATTAACCCATAGCAACCCTACTTACAACTGTAACACTAACTCTCACATTAAACCCTCTCTGCAACCCAAAATGCTAGCCCATACTTACCTTACTTGTAACTCCTACATTAACTCACACAATTAACCCGGGTATACACTATAAGAAAATTGGAAGAAAATTCCAGGTGCATAATAGAAAATTTTTATCGTACGTGAACACAACGTTCAATTTCCATTCAATGTGTACAGTAATTGTACGGATATAATCGAATAGTGAAAAAAGTGCATGATTAGAAGCAAAGAACGACCAGGAAGACGGTGGCAACAAACATAGAAATCATACACAAGAACGAATGTTTGCCCTTGTCGTTCAAGAACAGGGGCGGACTGACAACTCATGGGGCCCCCGGGCAATAGGGGATCATGGGGCCCCTGTGTCCTCACCCACACTCAAACCACACCCAAAAAAGCCTATGAAAGGTACCAGGGGCATCTCATGGGGCCCCTTACTGACCCCAGGCCCTCAGGCAGTGCTCAAGTTTCCAAATGGTCAGTCCGTCCCTGGTCCCAATCATGACACTACATGCATGGACTTTGTATGTTCTGTACTTGTGTGGGTTTCCTCAGTCCGTCCCTGTTCAAGAATTATCTCACAAGTTAATACCATTGTTGGTTACTTCATGATACTCATCTTTGTGGAAAATCAGATGACCATTTGTCTGATTTTCTCATAGTGTGTACGCACTCAATCCTCCCAATAACCCAAATAACAACCCATACTAACACTAAGGGATTGATTTACTAAAGGTAAAAATACCTTGCACTGCAAGTGCAGTTGCTTTAGATCTGAGGGGAAGCTCTAAAATGAGGCAAAGCTCTGCTAATTTCTTTCATCCAATCATGTGAAAGCAAAAATTATGTTTTTTTATTTTCCTTGCATGTTCTCCTCAGATCTAGAACAACTGCACTTGCAGTGCACAGCCTATTTGCCTTTAGTAAATCAACCCCTAACTGTCACATTAACCCTCCCTATAACCCAAACACTAACCCATACCAACCCTACCTGTACCCCTAACACTAACTTTCACACAAAACCCTCTCTGTAACCCAAATGCTAACCCATAATTACCCTACTTGTAACCCCAACATTAACTTTCACACTAACCCCTCCTGTACCCCAAGCACTAACCCATACCAACCCTACTTGTAAAACTAACTCTCAGACAAACCCTCCCAGTAACCCAAACACTAACCCATACTAACTCTGTATGCAACCCTAACAATCACATTAACTTTCTTGGTGACCCAAATACTATTCCTCACGCAAACCGCAAACTCCCTGTAAACCTCACACTATCCCTCCCTGTAATCCTCCTAGTAACCTTTGTAACCCAAACACCAAGGCCTCATTCTGATGGGATAATGAGGGCAGATAGGCTGCTACAGATACAGCATAATGGCACATCTGAACACAGCAGTAATCTGTGCTGTAGGGCTGCCTACAAACTGGACAATTAGCTGCTGCCAATTTGTATTTGCCAGCAAATGCTGTCCCTGGATGCACTCTGTCTGTGTATCGGGCCGTTCCCTAGTCATAGGTAACTATTCAGATGAGTGGTTACATATGAACAGCAGTGGTGCCAGTATAGGGTACAAATCTGGGAATGCCACTGGCTTCGGCAGTTCACACACACAGTGCTCATAGGGATTGTTTCTCTACCACTAGGAATTACAGATTCTTGCTGCTGACTGCCCATGTGAATGGACCCTAACTATCACACAAACAATATTCTGTAACCCTAAAACTAGCCCTTACACTAACCCTTCATGTAACCCTAGCACTAATCCTCACACCAACTCCATCACTAAGCTTCACATTATTTCTCTCTGTGAGCCTAACTTTAAACGTTATCCTAACCCGCACTGTAAGACGAGCTGTGATGATGGCACACCCTACTCAGAGGACAATAATATGTGTCAGTAAACTGAGATCACAAGCCACTGCTTCTCAATGGTAACATATGCTACTTCCCTGGAAAGTAAGGTCGAGGATGGGATGTTCCTCTCCTGACTGATCCACATGGCTCGGATGGACCATATTTAAGCCATAGATAGAGACATTGACTTGCACCAAAAATCAACGGGTGAAATCTGGAGCCCAAATGCTGGCAAGTAACTCTTTCAAGGCCCAGAAGGCTTTCTCACTCTTTGATGTCCAAGACACCAGCTCAGGCAGTTTCTTTTTAGATAATTTAGTCAAGAGTTAGCCAGGGTACTGCAGTTGCACACAGATTTGTATAGTACCCGGTTGTCCCCAGTAATGACTTGTCCTACCTCTTGAATTGAGGGGTAGGCCAGGCCATAATGGCTGTTTAAGATCCCAAAGTGTCATCTCCTTCCTGGTTTCCCAAGTACTGAACTTCTGTCATGCCTATCTGATACTATCTGGATTTGACTGATAGATTAACCACTGCCAGTTGGTCCAGAACTTGTAACAGGTGCACAGAATGTTCTTCCCAAGTAGGGCTGAACACTGCCATGTCATTACCATCCAGGTGAGCGACTGAGAATGCTTTTAGCCATTCCAGCAGATCATTCAGCACCCCCTGGAAGGCAGTTGTTTTCTTTATCCCAAGTGACATTACTGTAAAGTCTTATTTTTCTCCAGCCCCAGGTGCAAGAGGAACGTGGCAATACCCCTTGCTCGGGTCCATGATTGTTATATAGTGGGCAGCTGTACGCTTATCCAACAACTCATTATCCCTGGGCATGGAGTAAGCATCAGCAGTAGTGATGGCCTTTGGCTTCCTGTAGTTCACACACATTCCTGGTCATCTGATCCTTTTTTAGCACCAAAACTATTGATGATGCCCAGACACTATGGGACTTCTCTATGACCGCTAACTGCAGCATTTTCTCAGTCTTCTTTTTCTGCCTGCACCTCCAGAGAGGCACAGTGGACAGAATGTTTGATGGGAGGGTGAGCTCCTGTGTCTACTGTATGGACTGCAAGGTGCATCCTCCCTGTTTTTCCTGTGAACTTGACACAGTAAAGCACAAGCACTTCCAGCAGCTGAGGTACCTGTGTGCACCAAATATTGACAGAGCCTACTTCATTAAAACAATTTGGGGCTACTGAGCAACTAGCAACTGTTAAGGCAATGCACACTTTGGTCAGGAATATACTGTATAATGTACAGCATAGTGTACAGAGTGCAGCAGTTAGGACTCTATTATATGTAACCAGGTGCCAGTTATATCATAGCTATATCATTATGCCTTGCAAGGACATTTACAGATGAGAATATAATTTAATCCTTTCCCCCTGGTGCCCAGTACTGGGACTGCTACATCACTTTCTGTTAGCAAAATGGACCCAGTACTTCTGACAGCAGAGGATCTTGGGACCTGTAGTGCTATAACCAATACATACTGTATTTCTGAGTGCTGAATAAACTACAATTACCAGAGAGCTGGCAAACCAGACGGATGCTGGGAGAACAGATATATTCTACAGCAGGGGACTGTCCGGCTCTCTTGGCATGGGATTCAGAGCTGAACACAGGGGGACTACCATTCTCCTCCAGAGATAGGGGTTGTTGGCTTACAGGCTGCACAGCGGTGATCACATCAGCTTCTCTGCATATATCCAGTCTTCACACAGACATCTCTGCTCGCTAAGCTGACAGGCTGTCAGCTGGCAACTCTGCTTATTCCTTCTGTCATCCAAGAGCCTGTGCAAAACTCTTGTTTCTAGGAGGCCATGCTATCCATGGGATTGTTGAACAGGCAGATGCCCAACCTCTTTCTGCCATCACTCTAGAGACATTGCATGCAGACACCTTTACACCTCAGTATCAAAAAGATCTTTGCTTTCAGCAATACTACATCTGTTTTAGCTTCACTAAATTACCAGTATTCACTACTGTTTATTGGCCCCAGCATTGCTAGCAGAAGACAATGGACACCACCATATCAGGAACTTTAAACATCACAGGACTCAAGTTGCAATCTCTAGTTAAAAGGACCCCCTCTCTTCTAAGGCCATTGTTATTCAAATTACAATACTTATAACTATTTATGTTGGGTATACTTTTTTACATACCGGTAATTCTGTGCATCCACCATTGCTTCGCCGGTGGCCTAGAGGGAGCTGATAAACCCCCAAGCCTTTTCTTCCCCCTCTTGCTGTTGGTGTTGCAATAAAATGGTTGAGGCTTACTACTCATGACTGTATATTCTGTTAAATGTTGCTAATTGATTATTTAAATTTTACCACCATTCTTCTTTTTTGTGTTAACTGGAGTTGTATATCCTACAGCGATCATTTCAGTGGCCTACTCTTTTTGAACAAGTTTAATAGAGAGGTGTTACTAAAGAGTTGTGATGAACTTGGGGGAGTGGGGCCTAGAGCAAGGCAGGCACCTGCAAATGTGTACAGTGGTTGAGATACCAGGCATTGAAGGGACTGAAAGGGAAGTCCGTCAACTGGTAAAGAATCTGTTGTCAGACCAGGGGGGCCTATCTCATTGACATGATGATGGAATTTGCTATGGACTGCACTCACATATTACTAGAGTGGAAGGAAGTTATACCTTTTTGTTTCCAGAAGAACAGCATAAGTTTGGCAGAAGGGGTTGAGGACAGAGTTATTCCATTGTTGCCCACAGGTGAATCGTTGCTTTTGAGCAAGAGTGGGAAGTTCTTGGGGCAGATTCTGACCCCTCAAGAGAGAAAGAGTTTGAAACCTGGATGGATCAGGCAACTCAGTCTCTGTCTTTTCACTACTTGGGATATTCCCTTCTTCTACAGCCTAAGCGAAAGTCTTATAGGACCCACAGCTGAAGTGATTCACAGTCTGAGGATGGGAAAGCAGGATTGTGTAGCAATGGACTAAACTGATGCTTTATATGCTGGGGACAGTTGAGTGGAGAAACTTCCAGACCTTTTGTTTAAGATTGAGCACACTCATCAGCGTAGGGTTGAGAGACTTTCTAAGTACATTACTCAAGTTGATACAATTCTACACCAGATTGTCCTAAAGAAAGAGATTTATCCCTGGGATGCTGACAAAGTCCGCTTGGAGCAGGTTCTACAAGGCGCATGACCTAATCTCCCAATTGTGCTGAAACTATTATTCAAGGGATCACAAGCAACCCACACTTTCCCCGAATTAGTGAGAGAGGTAAAAGAGAAGAAAGATTTATTAGAAGAGAAAAATGAAGAGCCAAGAGAACTGCCAAAATCTCCATCCATGATAGAAAAAGAGTCTGGTGGTACAGGTAGATAAGTATTTCACAGACAAGGATAGTGACGGGGAGACAAAAGCAGATGAACACTCAAGCTCTCCAATAACCAAAACTGCCAATGACGCAGCCGACCTGCTGACTCACCTGATAAGCTTGTAGGCCCCTTTCCTATAGTTCCAGTTCAGGTGGAGGGAGTGTACACTAAGGCTCTGCTAGACACCAGGGCTCAGGTGACCTTGCTATACAAAGGCTTTTCCTAGAAGTATCTGAAACATATCCATTTACACAATTTGGAAGAGTTGGAGGTCTGGAGTATTGGCTCTGAAAAATTCCCCTATGATGGCTACATTCCAAATAAAATAAC